TTTGTACCAGCAAATGTTAAGGCAGCTCCACGTGGATACCACAGGAGATTGTTTTTGATGAGGGGATGACATTACAACATGATATAAAGCTCAAAAAAATTGTTATGCATAACACCCCCACCCCCACTTTAAGAAGGACAAAAACGAGGTTGTGATGCTAAAACAGCTTCAGTTCAAATTCCATCATGGAGGCTTTTTGTTTGTTTTTTGAGCTTTTTTGTGCGCTAAAACGTGAGGAGGACTTCACAATGAACTGGATGAAATGTCAGGGTGAAGCAGGAGAAAAGGTGAAAGTCAGGAGCAAAGACATCTCAAAGGTTAAAGTGAGGAAGCAGCTGCCACWGTAACACACATCTTACTGACATCTGTTCCTTAAATGGTCTTTATTTGGTTTCATTTTGGAAGTTTTCTTAGTTTGAGTAAACAAATATTTCACATTTTTCTATAAAAGAAAAACTTTGCACTTTAACTAAGCAGCTGTTTCAGTTTTAGCAGCAGCAGCAGGTCAAGAAAGTTCCCACACTCTAACATGTACATATTTTATACACAGCATCATTTTAAATATAATAAAAAGAGGCAGTCTTTTGTTTTACTGACTGAATGAATATAACTCATACTCATTTTGTTTTGGRAATGTCCTCAAAACTGATCTGGGCTACAGTGTTTTGTAAATTTGAAAAATTTACTCTTACTCTCTTAATTTCTTAAAATTACTCTTTAATTACATTATCATAATTTAAGATGCTGGTATCAAAGGCAACCAACTGTGTTCCATCAAAAATGCTACAACTTGCATTTTTTTTCTAGATTTAAGAGAAATATTAGCAATTGTTTTTTTTTCTTAGCAAGATAACAGTGGTTTTTAACACCAGAGAACAAGTCGCTCTGCAGACTGAAACTGCAGTGAAAGTCTCACTTTTTGTAAACACGTGATTTAGTCTGAGTCACCCGACACACAGAAAGTGAAACCTGGATCCTTCTGTAATTTTGCTTCCTCTATTTGTTCAAGACAAAGTCTTCCTGAGCTTCCTCTTCCAGTCCCACTGACAGGATGTGAGACTCTCTGGTTGTCGTAACTTCAGCTGAACCTCCGGTCGTGCTGGTTTTCACACACCACCACCTGTATCTGTTTGGCCTGATTAAAGTGTTTGGCTTCTTCCCACAGATTCTGAGGGAGAAAGCTGCTTATCTTCTGAAGACTGGGGAGATATTCAGGTAATTCTGTCACAGAATCCTGTTTAGGATTTGGCCTGGAGTATCTGGAAACAAAATGCTGAAATGTCAGAAAAAATGATGGTCGCATGCAAAAAAAAAGTTCAGAAAGCAGAAAAAAGAGTCAAATTAAAAATGTAATTTGTCACACACACACTAACTAGTGCAGAGACATAAATAATAATTAGCTTTTAAAGTAGCTGGCACATTTAGAAAAAAACACCTTAAATCGTGACCTCACAAGTGGAGCACTGGTGTTATCAGGCAGTTGCTGGAGCATCTAAAAGTTACTCAAAACATAGAGGGAGGTCGTTTTGGCAGTCACATGACACGTTTTTTTCCTGAACTTATTTTGACAGTGAGTGTAGCTGAATCAAGACACAAGCAGTGTGAAATCTTGATTACATGTAGGAGAAAACGCCTCCGTTACATGATTACTATTAAAAGTGTGAATAAAATGAGCTGTTGTTGTGATGCATTTCTCTTGTTTTGTTGTGTTACATGATGATAAGTGTGAGATCCTGGAGCAGCAGAGAGATGAAGCCAATCAGAGACTCACTGAACTGGAGGAAGGTGAGAAGTTTGGACATTTTTTAACATGCTTGTTTTCAATAACGGATTGATAACAAATTGGTTTAACACTGCAGACAGTATACAGCTATAAAATAAATGAAAATCCTAAATAAAATTCTGATAACAAAAACATCAAACATTATACTTGCAACGATCAAAACAGAACAATTTATATTGAGACAATAAAATCAGACAAATATTCGATATAYCATAAGATCACAACAAAATAAACTTATAAAACACAATAAAACAAACAATAACAAAATCTTCCAATGCAGAAAGCCAAAAACAAGACGTTACAAACAAACAAACAAAACTGACAACAGCAAAACAGAAAAACAAATATACAATTCAAAACACATTTTTGGGAAAATACAAAACAATGGGACCAAAAATACAACATTTTACCAAACAATAAAAGTATAAATAGTATTCACAGTTTTAGAAAACACAACAATAAAACCTGGTACAAATACACATATTTCAGTAAAAAAAACTAATGTTTCAGTTCATAAATAAACTAAAGCTTATTTTTGTTTTATGAAACGTGACTGTAATATAGCAAACATGATTAGAGGTGGGGCCACAGAGGTTGTGGCCACTGCTGAAATCCGATTGGCTCCCAGAAGTGTCCCGGTGTTGTCACTCATCTGTCCTCTGCCAAGAGCGACGATGGTGGATGCAGTTCCATGTCCAAACACTGGTGGTGCTAATGAGTCAAATAAGAAAGTTTTCTTCTTTTTTTTTTAAGAAAATGTTTTTCAACTGACAAACAATGGCTGGATTTTTTCACAATCTGTGTGCTTGACAGTATTTTAACTATGTACTCTAAAATTGCATTTAAAATTAATAAAGACATTTTACTGTGGAAGTTTAAAAAAATTACATTATAAGTGTCAAACATGCGGTTAAATATACACACCTTACCAAAATTGGGTATTTGTGTGTGAGGATCTTGAATAAATACTTGACCCCTCTATGCATATTATGACCCTTTGATGGCCCCTTACTCAGAAAAATCCTAGCTCCGCCCCTGCTTCCACACTTTTATTTTTGATGTTTCCTGACTCATTGTCAGGGTTACTGAAATGTTCAATTCTTATGTTTTTTCTAAATGTTTCGTTTATGATAAAAAGTAACCATGTAATTACCTAAAGTTCATGCAGAAAGTAAAAAGAATGACAGGGATGATGTCAGTTAATAACAAGTTTGATTATTAAAGATTTTTCAGGGTTTTTTTGTGTTTCATGTTTACATTTATGATTTTTATTTATTTCCTTTTCATTAAGCTTCCAATCAGCTCCTGAAGGAGATGAGCGTTCTGGAGATGCAGTTTCAGATTGAGCGCTCCTGCAGGGAGAGTGCTGAGGCCTTGGCTCTMAAAGTACCACATTTTACCATTGTTTTTATATTCATTACTTATCAAAGAAGTGAATTTATGAAAGTTCATTTAATCTGTTAAAGGATCAGCCTTAATGTTTACCCATCATCCTCCTGCCGCTCAGGTTAGCAGCGAGAACAAAGTCCTGAAAAGGAAGAGCCAGATGTTGATGCCGCCTATCCTGGAGCAGCCGGACGACCTGCTGTCCGTGACCCCTGATGACCTCACAGCTGGTACTGATGTGGTTGATTTTGGCAGCAACGAGGACATGTTGCTGCTCGAGAGTCAAGCTAAAATCACAGGTTAGTCCTGCATGATTAAACACTTCTCATCCTCCGGCTTTTTGTGTGCCTGAAAATACATGAACACAGACAATAAGTGAAATACTGGATAGGCATTAGACTGAATGATAAAATTATTTGATCTCGTATTCCTCTTTGTGCGTGCACGTGTTTGTGTGTGCGTGTGTGTGTGTGTGTGTGTGTGTGTGTGTGTGTGTGTGTGTGTGTGTTTGTGTGTGTGTGTGTGTCAGCACTGCAGACATCAGTGGACAGTTTGTTGGCTGAGAAGCTGCAGCTGGAGCAACAGGTGGAGGAACTAACCAAGGAGCAGGTTCAGATTAAAGAACAGGTACAAACACCACTCCCTGTGTGTGTGTGTGTGTGTGTGTGTGTGTGTGTGTGTGTGTGTGTGGGTTCGGCTTTGGGGACATTTGGGGACAATTTTAAGACAAAAATCCTAACTTTGGAGACAACTGGTGCATTTGGGGACAAAAGTTGAGTCCCCATTTGGTTTAAATGCCATTGGTGGGTTGGGGGTTGGGTTTAGGACCAAGGTGTGAATTGAGTTAAGCTTAGTTTTAGGGTCAGGTAGGTACCTGTGAAGTTAGCCTTAGGGTTTGTGGTCAGGGTTAGGCTGTAGAAATGTAATGGAAGTCAATGGAATGTCCCCAAATGAATAGCTGTGCAAACTTATGTGTGTGCGTGTGTGCACACGTGCATGTGTGTATTTGCTACATCATGGGACTATTTTCCAGAAAAACACAGCCTTATGGGGACCAAGTTCAAGTTCATGAATTTTTATTGTCCCCAAGGGGCAATTTGTTGCACAGATAATAGACATAAAAACAAGACAAAAACATTCAGACACAAACACAGAAAAGATCACAAACGTTCATTAAGAAATATAACTGCTGCTGGGATAAAAAAGTTTTAAATCTATTAGTCCCACATTTGGACAACTGATTCCTGCGTCCAGACAGAAGCAGRCTGAACTCACCATAGAGAGTGTGATCAGGGTCTGCCAGAATCAGTCAGACCTTTTTCACTCACCTGACCTTGTGGAGGTCAGTGAGGTTCTGCAGGTCAATTCCAGCAATTCTGCTGCACAGCCTGACAATCCACAAGAGTTTGCTTTTCTTCTTACATGTTAAAACTCTTTCTGTTCAATGCAAACACAACCAGGGCCGGGGCAGAGTAAGGCTGGGCTTTAGAATGCAAACACGCCAAGAGTTAATCAGAAATGAGTGGTCAGTGCAATGTCTTAATAATAACAGAAATACAAAGTTATAGGGGACATGTTTTGTTTATGTCTTTCATGTTTACTCTGTTGTGACATAAACRTTTTCATCTTTACTGCAGCCCAGGTTTTTGTGACCGCAGTGACTGTGCACACTGCAGCACACACCTCTTCAGTTTAAAATGATGATGCCAGTAACATGTCTACATGTTCAAACCACAGGCATCAGAACAACACAGATGCTTGTTTTGATGAAACACTGTTGAAAGGCACTTGCTGCCATAAGGCCATAAGGACACAAAACTGGCTCAAATTCTTGATGAGAGTCATTCAGCTTCAGTCTCTTCTTTTTGTCTTTTGAACTGACAATTATTAACTTAATGGATTAACACAACCTACGGCTGAAATGAAAATAATAGACTCCTGTGTGGAACATTGTGCTGCAGCTGAATTCCGAACAAAAGCGATAGTGAGCAAAGGAAACTCACGAGCATTTCTATTTCTACCTCTAACCACTTTTAAACCTAATGTTTATACAGATCAAATAACTTGAATCACTTTTACAGTGAAGTCACATTTTCAAGACTGGATGAAAATTATGTGTTTAAGGACAGAAAGTCCTTTTAAACTTAACGTTCTCTGAAATCAATGAAATCCCAACATTATGTAAATCCATGCAAGCACTAAAAAAACATGAACATGGATGTTTTCTTGCAGCTTTCTGTGGAGATTGGAGAGAAAGAAGCCATTCTGAGGAAAATGAGCAAACAGAGCAAGACCGTGAACAAAATCAAAAGAGGTATGTTTTTGTTACAGGGTGTATTCACACCTGACACACTTGGTCCACTTTAAATGAGCCAGAGTTTGTTTCCCCTGTTGGTCCGGACCTTTTATGCAGGTGTGAAAACACAAACACAAACACTGGTCTGGACCAAACAACAAGACTTAGACCCACTTTTTGAGGTGGTCTCGGTCCGAACTCTGATGTGGTTTGTTTCTGGTGGGAATACAGACCAGCCTCAACCAGAACCAACTACAGGAAACATACACCTTTTTGGACTTCATGAGCCATTGTTGCTAAGCATCATGGTACAAATTAACCCTTCAATGTTAAGAGTGCTAACGTTATTGCTACGCTACAGGCAATGAGCCGTGGACAGACCTGGAGCAACGAGGAAACTCTGTGCCTCCTCGATATTTGAACATAACACATGCAGCACATGGGACTTCCATTCTTCTAAAATAAATAAATAAAATAAAAATWGTTCCATGTTTCTTTCCAGGTCCGTGTTCTGTCCCACCTCAGTCATTTCTGTCCAATGGGAGCAATGATCGTCACCTGCATGGCTTTGTTTACAAATCATAGTTTGCTTGCAAAAAAGCACAATGTAAATGCAAACAGCACTAAACAAACAAACAAAAAAGTTTGCCTTTGGTCGGGACCAAACAAGCGGCCCAAAGGAATTTCCTGGTGTTAATATAAAAAGCATTTTTTTGTAGCTGATATACAATTGTTAGTTTGTTTTGTAAGCTTTGTCACAGTTCTGTCAGCCATGATACAATTCTAACTAGGGATGTCCGATATTAGCATAAAAATGTAAAATCTCTACATATCGGTATCGGTTTTTGCTTCTAATAACAAAAGCCCGATATAATAACATCTGGATTTGACCAAAATGTGTTAATAAATGCWTGTGGTCCAGAGATGTTCACCGGTGCACGATTGATAACATCATCAAACTGGATTATCTCAGGGAGAGCATGATTCAAACCATTGTTTGAGATGAAATGTTAAAAATAAATATGACACTTTTCCTATAACTTCAGTGAAATGTTTTTTTGTACAGACAGTGTTTCCCTTTGGAATGCATCTAGTGGGGTATTACAGTAAAAACAGGCAGAATCACAGGAGATATGTGATGTCACCTTAATATTAAATAATATTAATGATTAATATTGGAATCGGAAATTAATTGTTGAACAATATCGGCATCGAATATCGGCAAAAAGTCAATATCGAGCATCTCTAATTCTAACATACAGATGCTAAGATTTTTATTTCTGCTTGGCCCTCAGAGGAGTTGGACGCTTTTTGCTGTCACTCCCGAACCTGCCTCTTTTCCCTGCTTTGCTGCTGGATCAAGCCTTTCTTCTACCTACGTATCATTCGACAACAAAAGAACTATGGATCTGGTCAACTGGTCTCTGAACATAATTTTTTCCACCCTGAGATTAGAGCGTGTTGAGCGCGCTTGTCCCAGTGGAACCTTAGTGGAGTTTCAGGTAGCTGAGGGTGGAATGTGATCTGCCTGGCACTCTTTCCATTGAGGACGTCGAAGATGTTTTCATATTCAGATTTATGATAATCGGATTCCTGCTGATCGGTTGTGGAGGAGTTCTGGTTTATCGGAAAATGAGAATGACACTGACAGTAGTCCGGGCCTGTGAGAAGCAGTCAGTGACCCTGGATGGAATCTCTCGTACGGTGAATACACAGACTCAAATGATGGGGGAGTTGAATCGCAAACTGGATCTGGTCCTGACGAGGACCACTGCCCAGCGGCATGAGGAGTAAGTCAACATCTGGGTGAAGTTCATACGGGAAAGGCGAGATGGTAACAAATCTAGATTATTGGCATTTTCARAACACAGYGGCTCAGTTAAGACTTTAAAGCAGTGGAAGAAAAGTCTGCTGTTTGCTCTAAAGCATTTATTCCCATCATCGGATCCCACATATGTGTCCTTGAACGCAGCTGATAAAACCTCCCTTGATGATATGGGGAGGAAGCCTTGATCCCCACCTCCCTCCAACCCCCACCTGTGTCTGGACCCAGTCTCGGAGGCCGTGCTGGGTGGAAACAGAGAAAATGAACTCTAGTAAAGTGTGTCTGACTGATAACAGCTGGTTTGGACTCTGAAGGTCTCTGATTTGGTTCAGGCACTCTGTCCTGGATGTCACTGGCTCCACTGCACCCCTTCCCCCTCCATGTGTTTGTACCCCCACCCCCCTGCTTATTTGCTCCTATTCGCAGAGTGMTTTTTTTGTGCGATGCTCGTGTGTTTTTGTTTTGTGTTAAACACAGGATCAAAGCTCTTTTTTTTAAACTCATCCTTCCTATCTGTGTGTGTATTCTAAACTGCAAGGTAGCGCACTTCGTTGCGCAGGGCCCTGGACATTCGTTCCCCCCGTGTCTGTCATGTGTGTGTGTTTCTCTGGACAGATGTTCAAAACTGCCAATTTCATTCTGCACTGCATCTTGATGTTGTGTATGAATGACAATAAACGATTCTTGATTCTAAGATGCTAACAATGGTTAACACTTGGTGTCATAAAAAGAATGGAATTGAGCATATTGAATTGAAATGCAACAACTTAAGAAAATAAAAAACGGTATCATCATCGTGCATGTCATCCTGCTCCAAATCAATAACGGCTTGATTTACTGTAATAAAAAAAGGAACACCTAAGTTTCTGATTGATTTTTAATTAGTTTTTATTATTTAATTATTATTATTAATAATTATTTCAGATCTTCCAAGGTGTCAATTATGGAACTCTCTGTGCATTGTTGCCCAAATCAAATTCTGGAAGTGGTCATTCAACTAGATCTGTTACAAAAGGACAACTGATAT